TCATCATCATCATCATCATCATCATCATCATCATCATCATCATCATCCACTGGGCCCTGGTAATAGGATAGACCCAAAGTAGATCGGAGGACTTCCTGAGGGACGACCACGGGCCATGGATGGCCATGGTTGGTGAGTGAGGTTGTGATGACCTGACCAGGGCCTGCAGTCTGTCAACCAGATGTTCACGATGTCACAGACACTGATGTGTAAATCTATATAATATACATAAATAATGAATCAATATATATATATATCGAGGGAGAGAGACAGCTAGATTATAGCATGTGTTAAACAGGGCATCATCAAACGACCAAGAACATCAACACTCCAGACCATGTCCCTTTTCAACCTCTGTCCGCCAGGCGGTCCGCCACTTCCCGACGGCCAAGCCTGAAGCGAAGAGTGCCTTCCTTCTATCCGTGTGCGCTGCGGTGGTGCCTCGGAGCGTTGCGTTGGGGGTGACCGGGTGAGGTGAGGAACAGTCGGTGTTTCATTGTTTGTAACAGTGGGTTCCTGTTCTGTTTTGTGTTGACCTTTACTCGAAGCGACTTACAGACTTAACTGCTTTTGTCCCTCTCCATTCAGACTAAAGCACTTAGTACGTTCGCTTCTTTTGGACGATGTGTTGACCTCACTGACTCGAAGCCATGCGGTTGGAGGCTAGGGGAGAAGTACTGTAGCGGTGGAAACCGAAGTCCCAAAAGGAGCACTGGAATCGCTTGCAGTGCTTGAGAGAGCCTGAGAATGAATCTGGTCATCTACGACGACGATCAACTGGATGAAGTCAGAACTCAAGTTTATACTGCATTTCTTGATCTCGAGCACTGGGAGATGTTCGACCATTGCGTTCAGGTTTCACACAACAAAACGATGAAGCCTTGTTTTTCAGCTCACGCCGTTGCCCAGCGCGGCCTGGTGCGGCGTTTTACACACATCCATGTGGTCGACGCAGCTTTCTCTATGCCTTCTCCGGGGCCAAGTCGCGGCGGCTTTTCCGGCGGAGAGCCAAGTCACGTCTCGGAGGCTCTTCCAATCGACGGCTTCAGCGTTTGCACAAGAGAAACCGTCGTATTTGTAACGAGACATGCCCAGACAGTGTAATCATTGTTATCGCAACGCAGATCAACGCAGTGATAATCATTTTTATCACCATCATCGTCATCATCACTATCATCCGTTTCGGAAAATGTCAAGATATTGAATATTGGTAGCTGGCGTGCTACTTAAATTTGGTATTTGGATACTCCATATCCCTGGCGTGAGCAAGAAAGAGGATCAATTTGGATCCGTTATACTGGGTACAGGTGACTTAGGACTCCCTGAACATATAGTAAATTCACAACGCCTATCTCATGTGTACACAGCTGTTGTGCACCATGTGGGTTTGTGCCCATCTCATCAATCTGTGATGCTGTCTTGGCAAACATGGCAATAGCTTCAAACAAGCATCGCCGACCTAAATTTTGCTGGCATCGGTGTGGGGCACATGAGATAGGAGTTACAGAAACACGGGCACCTTCTGGCCGCATGAGATAGGAATGGGATGGAATGGGTCTTGTTTTTGTGGTTCGCTTTCCTAATGGACTCACATGTTGATGATGTGAAACATGTATGTTGTGAAGATTGATAAAGTTAAGTCTTGCAAGCTCTTTCTCAATGGATTTCGTGGCATTTTCTTAACCATGAGATGAGAGTTGTATGCAATCTTGCTATCATAGCTCCTTTCTCATCTGCTCTGGCGTCATGCGTTTTTTGTGCCTGCTTGACAGAGACACATGACTTAGGACTAAAGACCTGGTCTTTAGCCTAACTTTCTGGTAACGACAAGTCCTAACTCATCCTATCCTAGTGCAAATATATCAATCATTAGATTTGATGAGATCGTAGTTGGTCAACCTTTGGCTTTCAGGTCTCGACAGGTAGCCTTTTGTTGTTTCGTTCTTTGGATGTCGGAACAAGGGACACCCGAAATCTTGCAAACACTTGGGACTTTCATGTATAAATTTGATATAAACCTGTGGGTCGAAACCTGGAGCCCGTTTCACTCCGGTAGGTTGACCTCCTTACTTATAGCCTTTGCTTGACCTCCTTACTTCGGTGGGAAGAGGTCTCCCGGTTTTGAACCTGGTCGGAGGGACGTGAAGGATGGGCGCGAGAGGCTTCATCGTTCGGCCTCAGGTTCTGAACATCACGCAATGCTTTGCAGCGCCTCGGCCGAGAGGAAATGGTTGATGGTCTTTTTGTGTGTCAGCAAAGGTTGATGGCAGCGGTACCATTGGGAAGTGGTGGAACAGTATTAATACTATGCAATAGTTACTATATTATATATATATTAAAAGTATGTACAATATATATACACAGTATATATATATGTAGAAAGCATTTGCATCCTATACATCGCACCTGTGTTTGATGTCGATACTTGTATTCTTTTTGACCCCCGCGAGGAAAGTTCTTACGTGCTCATGATCCTACCGGCTGTTTTGTGGCAAGGTCAGGAAACAACGATTCGATCAGCCATGAACACACCGTCGGGTATGTGAAGCACTTCAATACGAAGGTATTACTGTATATTTGTCAGCTTTTGATCCTGGCTTCAATGCAAGATCTTTGAAGTAACCCCTAGAACGAAATTGTTATAGCATTATATTCCTTGGCTGTTACTTCTACATCCAACCGTTTGGGCTATTTCCTTGGGCATACAACGTCACAAGGCACGGCCACATTGTTTTTTTTTTCAGACGCAGCACTGGCCGAACTTGGTGTTTATACCAGGATGACATAGGATGATTGTTGATTAACAAAAATAAACATAGAACTAAACGGCCTTTGTGACACCAACAAAACAATGTGTTTTCTATGGCATCCTATGGATGCTCCACGATTGTTCTTGCATTGAACCGTTCATTCTTATTGTACCGTTCTGAGATGTTGATTATCATTCATGTTCCAGACGCCCATAATTAAGTATAGTAATGTAGACTCTCGATTGATTTAAAGAAACCATTTGGATTGTAAAGAAACTCTTGGGGTGTATCACTGCAACAGTCTACATTACAAAGAAAACATTGACTACACCTCTGGGGGTGGTCGGAAAACACAGCCGCCTGGCTGCTCCAAGAGGTGAAACAGCTGGGTGCCTTGCTCCAAAGCATCGTTGGCTCGGGAACCAAGTCGCTGACTTGGAAGTTGAGGCTTGTCACCAACAGAGCTTTTAGGATCAGGAATTCGGTTCCTACTGAGGTGGTTCTGAAAAGAAAACGGGCATGAACATGTAATAGGCATGAGGTACATAGGCTAATATGCAAAGCTTCTAAACAACATAAACTATCCTGTATTCTTCTAAAACTGATTTGCATGCAGCTGACTTTGCCGATGGCGGGGTGCAGACATTGGAGCCAGACTTGAGCAATGATTGGGCTTGGATGAATGATAGGGATGACATCCCGGCAAATGATCCCCGACTTCTTGAGGCCATTGGAAATGGGTCTTTGGCAAGTGGGAGGGTGAGAATTCCAGGAACAAGGTATAAGAATTCCTAATCACCCCTTGTTGACCAGGGCCAACATTTTGAGAAAGTTGGAATGGCTCATTCATGATGCTTGGGGCATGGGTGTGAGTGTGGGTTCTTTATTGTTCCCCCCTGAATTCTGCAGGTATGTTGCTTTTGGGAGGTTCACACATGATTTGCATGCAGTTGGGGACAACAAAATGCAATTCTGAAAAAGATCCGTAGCTTCGGCCACACTTATTTGCCTTGCTCATGGCCTCAGCCTAAACTGTCCCCCGGCCTCGGATCTCCTGCCCCTCGACTCCGCGATCTCTACGGATCTCCTAAGTCCTTCACGTCGGATCAGCTCCGAGGCAACTTGAACCTGATCTTGGTGATTGCTTTGTCGCAGGCCGACCGGGGGCTGACAGGGGGCCAACAAGGCGCCGTGGCCTTCACCAGACCAGACGGCCGGGTTCGGTTTTTCGGGTTTCAGCACCGCAAACGAGAAGAATGGAGATGGTGTAATTAGCAGCATTGCTGTGACAACTGGATATACGTTTTGAATAACAACAAAATGTAGACTCTTGAGTTATAAACCCCTCCATTTGAATTGGACATCCTCTTCATATGGGATGTTTCTTCTTGTAAATCAAGAGTCTATCAGGAACATGGTCAATCTGAGACTGAGGCGTTCAGCGTATGAGTTTTTCACCCGAGAATATGTAGGACGACGTCTTAGAATGTTGATTGACCAGGACCTTCAAAGTGACCTTTTGAGATCCCCAAATGTCCCTAAACAGGTCGACTTAGAGACTTGATAGAGGTCACGTTTCGATGCAAACCCGACAATCGACTCAAGCCGACGTCCGCCAGGTCGGTTCGGGAGTCACTCCGGCCGGAGGTTTGACCTGGTTTTGCTAAGGCCTGGGTCATGGGGCCTTGTTCTTATCCCGAACCTGGGTTTTCATCCAACCTGGAGAAGATATGTGTTTTCTTTTTCCAGGCTCCCGAATCAGCAACCACTTTCGGGCTTTGGATCGCCTCATCCTCTTTGTCCAACCTTGCAGGCTTGGCTGAGAGAGCAGGCGCGGCGCACGCGGGCGCATTCCAGCTAATGAGACGCAATAGACCTTGCTAAACATGTGGTCAGCTTCACCAAGCTGTGTAGATGGAGGATCCCCCAAGACCAAGGCCCCTTTTACATCCGCCACATGAGTCTCATGAGGGTTCCAGAAAATAACTATGAGAGGCTATGCCCAGCTAAATTCTTTCCATTTCACCGATGAGACCGGTGTTTCGTCCACCGTTGTTCATCATGCGACCGCGACCCAGACCGCGACGGGCACGGAAGCACCTCCACCGGGTCCACCCCACGCGGCGCGGAAGCGCGGAAGCGCGCACGCGGCGGTTGAGGTCACCTTCTGGCAGTATGTGGGTGTCTTCCTCCTGGCCGCCGGGACGTTTGCCAGCCGGGGGCCCAGGGTGATGGTGATCCGCGGTTTGGCGGGAGCTTCGACCTGTTCTTCAGCTTGAAGGCATGCACCTGCGAGCAGACCAAACACCGTTTTTGGGGGCTGTTTCGGACCAAGGACATGAAGGCCGCGTTTCAGAAGGCCTCAGTGGGGGAGACCCTGCTAGAAATCCAATGCGATTCCTCAGTTTTGTTGCTGCACATTCTTGGAGTATTTTTGGAGTGTCACCTCACAAGGTATTGGAAGATGGGAGGAATTCAAGCGCGACGCAGTTCTTCGGAGCTTGCAACCAGTGGGGTTTTCACCAGCGTTGCTTTCTTTTGTCGCGATGGCCGGGTAATTCTGCTGGATCAAAGGTAGGGATGGCAGGGACTGACAACTCCTGATGAGGTGAGGTAGCCTGAACATCAAAAAACATATATTATATATATTTCATGACCTTGTCCACATGTGATTCGTTTGGAGGGTTGCCTACCAGTCGCCCCAGTCCTCGCCGGACCCCGCTTCCTCCGTTCGACCCGTCGGCGCCCAAAACGGTGCTCAGACAAATATGGTGGACTTCAGAAGAAGAACACTGAGAAGGCACAGGGAGTCAGGCGTGTTTTTGGGGGTCTGAGATATTCTAGAAGGCCAAACTTCAAGCGGTTGTGAACGAACGCCTATAACTCTTAAGGATATCACAAGGTTACTTTCCAACACAGTACAAGACCTGCAATCACTCTTTGCACAAAGCACTTAAAGAATTGCTTAACAATCTTGGCTGGTTTCTTCTGTTTGGCTCCGTTCCAGCTGGCGGTATTTGGAAACAACTCCAGCAAATTGTTTCACCCGGATCTGCGGATTCTGCTGCTGTCGGGAAAGGGTGCCAACAAACAAATCTTAACCACCATGCGCAAGTGTCCAAGTATACTGACTCAATGTCAAAATGATGATATGTTTGAGACATGGTAGCTAGAAGCTACAAGGTGGAGGCCATCGCTCTTGGGAACAAGAAGCTACTAGTAACAAAGAAGTGAGATGATGCAGCCAGGAGCAGTTGGTGGAGAAGAAAACGGATGCTCAGGAACAGGCGTGGTTTTCGAAAGCCAGGCTTTGGACACCCCAAACATCGGTGCGGAACCACAAGTTAAACCAAAAAGACCAGCTTGGCATGATTTTGCACGTATGGAATACCCAGACACGACTAATGGGACTTCCATCTTTGCCTACATTGGGGTGGTTGGAAAAGGGTAAATGTACTCCATTTGACTCCATGCATCTGAGGGCAGTAGAAACAGTCTTTCGACCAGTCGACCAGTAAACAACAAGCAAAATGCACGGTGATTCCACACCACACCGAAGCACGGTGATTCTTTGGCGCGCTCCCCCATCGGCTGGGGTCGGCGGATATCTTCCATACATGGAGTCTTTGGAATAACTATAGAGTTTGTTCTTCTTGCCAGGTCTTATATTCATTTGCATCAGCTGCAGTCAAAGTTTGCGTGGCCAGCGTGGGACACTCAACAATCACGCACTTTCACCTTACATATTTAACGATCAAACAGCTTTGGAGGGAGGAGCTTCAACCGTGCGAGGTGACATAAGTTTTGTTGCAGGGATCAAAAGGGGCAAGGGTTTTCAAGAAGAAACACCTTTGTTTTACTGGTGTAGATGATTCTATCTGCGTACATGCCTACATTGACCCCATATTGACCCCGGATCAAACACAAAAAAACACATCGCTCAACATCTTCCGGGTGCTTAGACTCGAAGGTTCGCTTGGCCGATGTCCCAAAAGACTAAGGCCTTGTGGATGAGAATAGAAAAGCAGAGTTTTGACATTAAGGGATGCGTTTTGGCATGAGAAGACGAGGCGAATGGCAAGATGGAAATCCCTCCAAACAGACATTTGGTAAAGAATCATGTGGAGAATTCCGGAATAAGAGACCAAGTATCCAGCAGACTTGAGGACACTATCGACTCTGGGAATCCCATCGTCCTCTTTGGTGGGGACGGGGATCCACTTAAAGCAAAACGTATCTATAAGTTGTTATTATAACGTGTTATATTACTAAACATTTGAGTTGCATCTCATGAGATGCATTCTTTAAATGCACCGTCAGTCATCCCATAGTCATCCTTGGGTCCTCCACGATTGAAGGAAGACATCTTGAGAATCCGCTGAACTCAGACTATCTATGTGTGGAAGAGTTGCATCATGTTACATATACTCCATGAAAATGACTCCATGTAGAGAATGTAGGCACTGCAACTATTCCATACATGATATACACTCCATGCGTGGCAGATATAATATACCTACATTGATCCTTTTTCAACCACCCAATATAGGTATATATGACAGTCCATGGAGTTAGCAACCTAATAGCAATGGGCTCCAACCTACAAGCAATGGCCTCCAGTCTAGAAGCATTGGCAATGGCCTCCAATCTAGAAGCAACGGCCTCCTAACTAGAAGCAATGGGCTCCAACCTAGAAGCAGTGGCCTACAACCTAGAAGCAATGGCCTCCAATCTAGAAGCAATGGCCTCCAACCTAGAAGCAACGGCCTCCAACCTAGAAGCAACGGCCTCCAACCTAGAAGCAGTGGCCTCCAACCTAGAAGCAATGGCCTCCAACCTAGAAGCAGCAATGGGCTCCAACCTAGAAGCAATGGCCTCCAACCTAGAACCAATGGCCTCCAACCTATGTGCAATGGCCTCCAACCTAGAAGCAGTGGCCTCCAACCTAGAAGCAATGGCCTCCAACCTAATAGCTTATTGGATATCCGGGATATATGGATGGTGTGGGCCACTCCGCCTCCCACCTCAGGCTGGTGAGCGCACACCTGAGCCCGAGCCCAGTGAGACCAGCGAGACCAGCTACGGCGCCACTGACTCTACCGGTTGCTCGGAAGAAGTTGTTCATGTCACTGGTATAAGGAGTCAGAATATGTCAGTTACTCGTATAAGGAGTCAGTGTCATTCCATATATGACAATTGTATTAATTATTAATGGTTTTATGACCAGAATTTGTCAGATGATGTCATATGTCAGTCTGTGTACCAGAAAAGCCAAGAACATCACCAAAGCTGACCAGCTGATCAGGTGCTGAAGCCGAAAGGAGCCAAATCTGGACGGAGGGGGTGGAAGGGAACAAAATAGTGGTCCCGTCGTTTTTTTGTTCCATTCTTAGTACAAGTTTGATGCGGTATATGTTCCGTGCTGAGCATCTGGATGGTATATGTAACTTATTTTTTCGTGCTGCCATCCGTTGGTTTCAGTTTTGCTACAAGTTCCTACTTGCCGTCACATGCCAATGGTCAGCCTGGATTTGTGCAGGCAACCTTTTCTTCCGTCGGGAAACCACAACACCATTGCATGGGGTTCTGTGCATGGCGACATAACTGCTTCATGCACCTCTTCCAATGTACACAACTTGATACACCTGCAGCCTCCAGCATCACTCGGCCGAGGTAAAGATCACTCGATTTGTTCTTTTCTTGGGTTTTACATGGCGCTCCATGGATTGTAAGAAACACAGGATCGTACATGGCGTTCCATGGCGTACCGCATGGTTTTAACGTGCCGCATGCCGCCAGGAGTGGTTCATGCGGCTCTTCAGGCTGAGCCACCTGGCACCTAAGGTGCCTGAGGCCCTGAGGTCTGCGAGTGCCCGGCAGGGTGTATACTGTGGGTTGAGCTTGTAGGAGGAATGTAGTCTTGTTGGGCAAATACACAAGTGTAAATCAAGTGTTAGTTTACCACAAGAAACCTCCCAAGATTAACTAATAAGTAAAGGCCTTGTCATATGGTTTTGCGACATAAGGGTTTAATCATATGTCTTTTGCATAGCTCAAGTGTGAAAGGAGTACCGTATCAACAAGTTACGTGGACAGCGTGGACATGCGGAGGTCTCATGAGTACCTGAGCATGCTTGCTTTTTTGTGGCTCACAAGAGACACTTTGCCGGGCTGCGTTAGAGAAGTCCTTTCTGTTTGTTTGTTTGCTGGTTTTGTGAGTAAGTTGTTTTTGTTTGTGTGTGTTTTGAATGTTTAGCTAGTGACGTTGGATACCTGGTGGAGAGCAAGCCATTTAGAATATATAATCGGAATTTGTTGCTTCTTGTTGCGGTCCGAACCGTACGAAGTGGGGAATGGCAAGGAGCCAACCGACGTTCGAAGACTTTACGTGCGTTGCTCGCCGGTGGCTTTCGCCGATTTGTTCGCCGGACGGCAATGCGCAGTGTCACGCTCAAGCAGGCTTTCATGGAAAGGCTTCACCCAGTCTTCCTGTTGAGGGATAGCGTGCAATGGTAGTGGGAAGTACTGCCACAATTTGTTCCGGAATACTGCCACAGTCTTGCATTGTTTTTGTGGGATGGTGTGGTGTTTGTAGTTCGAACCTCGTGCTTGATATTAAATAGAATAATCATAACAAGAAGCTACTCGTAACAAGTGCATCGCTATGAACAAGTGCATCGCTACTAGTTGGAACGTCCAGAGCCACACGAGTGATTTAGGAACTCGTGGTGGGCCAGAACCCCAAGGCTTGTCGAAAGAACCCCAAGAAACTGCTGTCGTTGTAGCTTGGGGACATGCGACTGAACCAATTGAGCTGAGCTATAGAGAAGTTCGCTCGGATTTCAGACATATATAATAACTATACCGACTATACCGGGGTTGTATGGAGTTGTCCTATTTGATTGTCAGATTCACGAGTGTTTTCTGAGCTCAGGTTGACAGTGAGAATAGATGATCATTCGACCGCTTGGACCCTCATATCCTCAGCCCGATTCTTGGGAACGTTTATATACCCTACTCAGATATGTGATGTGAAGGAAGACGTCCGATTGGGGTCCCATCCGGGCTCAAATCCAAACCATTGGTGCTTCCGGGCCCATTGGAGACATCCGGGCTCGACCAGCTGCTTTCAAGGGGTCAACGGACAACCCTACTACCCCACTGAGGTCTCCAGACAGGGCACCAAGGATTCCAAAAGTGCTAGGTAGGATCCAAGGATTCCAAGGATTTCGAAAGACGCTGGAGGAAAACGATTTGAAAGGATGTCAATCGTTGGGTCGACCGGGTGAATGCCTTACATATGCGAAGATCCATGGCACCTGTGGTTCTGAGGAGGTACTGACAGAGGTCCTGACATGCATGTCCCAACAACACTCATGTTTCTCCTCAGGATCTGGCTGTCGAGTGCCATGTTGCGCAAGTACGACGGATGAAGCGAGGAGAAACCGATATCATCCAAAAAAGCCTTTAACCAGCCAGCAACGGGGTCTCCAATGGACTATCCTATACACTACCAAAGTCCTGTGACACCTCGACATGAAGGTCTGGGCATTGTTTTTGCCTTTCAAAACACCTCCAGCACCTGGTGTTGGGACCCGGCTTCAGAAGGAATTCGAGGGATGGAATCGGCTCTACTGGTGTTCACAGTCGGAAGCATCCGGTTTGGTGTTCATCAGTTTGTTGCCTTCCACGTTCGATGTTGTTTGTTCTCCTGGTTTGGGTGGTTGTTTATGTTGAAGACAACATGAAATAGAACACGTAATCGAATAAAGAATTCTCATTGACTACGGGACACCACTGCATCGCAAGGGTCATCCGGGTGGAATCATTTGCTCCCTCGCCACATTCCTCGCACCGCTCGTTCGGCGCGTTCGGCGCAGTACGGTGCGGGACAAAAAAGAGGGAGCGCACCTTGAAGGCCACATGGCCATCGCGTCCAGATGGCGGAACGACATCTCCAGATGTGGACGACCAAGAACCACTCCAGACTCTGCAGGACCAAATCATACCAATCAAGTGGGTCGAGCAGGGCTGAGAGGTCACTGAAGGGACCAACCATTTTTTGTGTTTCTTTTTTCCCCGCTGCGCAGGTGCGCATTTGCGACTTCGGGTGGAGTGCCGAGGCGCAGCATGGCGCAGCTTATGAGAGAAGAACACGACATGGACAATGGACAGTGTCGTCACTGTACCCAGGCACTCCCATGCATGTAAGATATGCCATGTCTACATTGAACCCTTTTCAACCACCCCAATGTAGAAGTCGATGTGCCATGCATTTGTTTTGGGAGTGATACCAGTCAGACTGATGGGCTTGTCAATGAAGATGTTTCATGATCTAATTACTGCAGACTGTTGAACGCATAAAACAATAATATTTGAAGATGCTACCGTAGCCGTTTTGGCTGCTTCGGTGGAAAACAACAAGCAGACGAAGACGGAGGCTGTCGAGGAGACTAAGAAGGCCGTGGAGGAGAAGGCCGAAGCCACCGCGGCGGCCAAGGGGGAAGTGACCAGTGCAGAGGCTTCCTTAAGTGCGGCCAAAGAGGCATTGAAGACAGCCGAGCAAGAGAAGGCAGGAGATGCCAAGGTCATGGTGGAGGAGGCGAACAAGGAAAAACGCATGACTCAAGAGTGTGATGGAGTCGGTCTTCCTTCCCTGCAAGGAGAGTGCCCTTGCAGAGATCGCCATCAACAAGGGTGTTGCAGATCTGCAGAAGTTGGGGGACGAGTACGGCCGCGACACAGCCATGCTGACTTCTCTACCGAGCTCCCTCTCGAAGGAGCCAGCCTCTCGGGGCGACCTTGATTTGGTGGTGAATCACCACCAGATCATCCAGATCAAGGTCGCCCTGAGAGGATGGCAAGTGGAAGATGAGCTGCAAAAGGGGCTGTACCAGCTCATGGCGCAGCTGAATAAGGCGGAGCGGGCTCGGCAGTCCGCTCCGCCTTATTCATTTCCGCCGCCATTTGGTACAGCAGTCGGCAAAAGGGAGAAACAGAAGCAGTATATATGTTCCTCAAGATAATCCATGTCTGAATTAGGTGGATAGGCTTCGTGCACCTCCTTTTGCCCATTCTGTTTGCCCACCTTGCCATTCCGTTTGCCTTCCGTTTACTTCCTTTTGCCCACCTCACTGTAGTTTCTTTTGCTCGTTCGGTCTCACGACGCTTCGAACACTGTTCTACCCACCCGCACCACACCTGTTCTACCCAGAACCGGCGGGTGGGTGCATAGACCCGCCAGGCCCGCGTTGGTGCGTGCATCCAGAGCAGAGATGTTTTGTGAATCAACCGGCCACATGGAATTTGCATACCCCCAACTACTAAAGTTCCCTGTCCCTGTCTTATAGTTGACGGTAGAAGTTTGTCACCTTTTCCAAATTGGCCGACTTTGCAAGAATTTGTGAGGTGAAGGCTGAGCGTGCCCTGCGCACCACCTGCGGCACACCCCACTACTGGCCGACGGGGGCACCAAGAAGGGCGAAGATGATCGGAGGACGTGGAAAAGACGTTTCAATTGTTGCAAGGAGAAACAGAAAGATGATGACGATAGGGCTTATTAAGCCTTAGTATGTGTTCCAAGTAGTATTTCTGGCTATGGAGGAACTGAACTGAACGGTGTTCTGAGGAAACCACCGTGCGCATCTTCGTTAGAGACCAACCAACGTAGGTTTCTGGTAGCCAGCAAAACTGGCGCCCTCGATCGGCGGCTCATTCTCGAGCCTTGGGAGAGAATCCTAAAGACATCTCCGAAGCTTTGTCAGGTTTCTAACTTTCCCTTTCACACTCCATGTCCGGAATAAGTCATGAAAAGTCATACATGGGCCTCATGAAGGTCTGACCTATAAGATTATCAAGATTGAAGTATTCCCAATGGATGTCATTTTGGATCCTGGATGCAATACAAGTATTGTTCAACCTTCGCTCCTCCGCTCCTCCGCTCCACCCTCTTTCTGACGTCCTCCAGTCGTCTCGGTGTCTCGTCCCGTCTAGGCCCGGTGTGACGGAATGAGACGGGGGTCGTTTGGTGCCTGGAGTGTTCTGTACGTCAAAAGGGTCGTGGGTGGAGCGGACAGTGCCTAGCCATCGTGGAGGATTGGCTTTCCCACTAAAGGCGAACAGGTAGAAAGGTAACTTGGTTATATAACCCTTTTTCTCCTGAACAAAACTGAGCTACTTGTAGTCAGGAAAGAAGAAATGGAAGTTCCAAGGCCTGAGATCTTCGAAGGTGAGAGCCAGGACAGGCGAGTTTCGATTGCCGAACTTCCAAAGGTAAAGAGGTGGAAATTCCAGTGGATCTTGATGAATTGTTGTCTCATGAATAGGAATTGACATGCATTGGACATGGGTTATGAATGGTCATGAGCTTCCTGATTCATGAGCCAATGCCACTAGAAGAAGAGTCGCGCTAGGGGAATGTCTTGACCAGCCAGGGGTCTTGACAGGAAGAACCGGGGTCACGACTTCTTCAGCATTTAGAGAAAGGTGGTTAGCTTACTGGCTGAAGAGTACTGACTGAAAGAGGACAGTTCACCAAAGTTTTACGAGTGATGACCTCGGTGATGCGCATCAACTGGCAAACAGTTTGGGACGATTCGCTTGAGTCTTCGAGATGTTTCCGCTAGACAGCAGGTAAATGAACCTCTGATTTGTAGCACCTCGTGGTATGTGCGTTGGCTTCGAGAAGGAAGTGGGAGGCACTCACGATGTCACAAGAAACAACACTCATGGAGCTACAATCTCCATTGACGGCTGTAGTCCTTGAGGGATTCTCAGTCCTCAGCTCTTATTGCGACCTGTTCAGCAGTGCAAGGCTTTCAACTCAACGGATGCCATGGATCATCCGGCATGCGAAAGTCAACACCAGCTGCACCAGCTGCGGGCCGGCATGCCATGGGCCGGCTCTCCGACTTGGATCAGGCGAGGGTA